TTTGACTTTAATCTAACTCATTTCGATCAATTGTTTTACCTTTACTTTCTTTCATTTCAAACAAGTTTCTATGATTAGAATCAATTCGAAACAAGTTAATCTGATATATTGTGTATATATATATATAATAATAATAATAATCTAAATTTATTATAACAGTTGAAGATTTTTCAACGAGATGTGGTGTAGTGAAAATAGTCTAAATAACGTTGAAGAAAATAGAAGAATTTCTCTTCCTGTATTTAATAAACTTCCTTATTTGATAGAATTGAATTGTACGCTATTGTAGAGAGGAAATTCTTTTATAAACAGAGATTGCAGATACGGAATAAAAATAGAGAAGAAAGATTTTTTTCCCTGGAATTACGTTTAAGATTAATTGTCACGTGTATCGCGAACGTGCGACTTTTAACATTTTGATCAAAGATCAACCTCCTCACACCCTTATCAATAATCGCATTAATCAAAGTTCAATAACGAATATTCATTTCTATTCATTCCATGAAACGAGATATCCAAAATTCTGGGCTTACATTCATACTTCACCCCCTACCCAAAATTTTAACTTTTGTTTTCCTCACTTTTTCTTAGTAAAGGTGAATATCTACTACCTTTCGTTTCTCTCCTCTCATTTTTTCGACTCTAGATCAAGCAGAATATTCCTCGAGCCAATTTCAACCAAGATAATAAGGATTTATTGACATTAATAATAACCCTCTTGCCGCTGGAACAAAGAACCCTTAACTTTTCTTATTCATACTTCTTCGACAAAGACTCTTTCTTAATGCCTAATCTCATTGTCGACAATAGACTTCTTTCTTTAGAAATTAAGCTTAATCCTGTCTCATCGACACAACAAATTTCCAATAATCGAGACTCTCCTTTTTCAAATCACGCGAAATTAAATCATTCTCGATTTCCATGGGAAGAGAAATTCTGCTTTGCAATCAATCTGGAATCATAAAATGACTCGATATCGTAAGATTGCTTGCACATGTTAAGCAGAGTCGGAATCTAGTGCCAGGAATATCACATCCACGAGTATCATTACGAGCTACATAAGTGCTCGTGTCCAACATCGTGTTACCCGTTCGTAATCATTTTCGTTAATAATTCAACAGACTCGAATCAAATCAGCGAACGATTTGTTTGTGGCACGATAAGATCTTGAAATGGCTGTGTAACTTAAGCACGAAAATCTTGGTACCAGTAAGGAAGTTGCTAATTGGCTTGATGAATCGTGTCAATAAATCCACATCACCGTGGCGAGATAAAAATCGGTAAAATCAAACCAAGTTAAAAATCGCCCCTCGAGGGGAGGAGAAACGTTTATTAAGCTTCCTCAAAAGTTTCTTTTCGTTCTCTCTGCATTTATTAATGCAATTGCGGACACGTGGTATATGATAATTGGCGAAAACAAAATTTGCATTAAATGGACATTATTATTTGCATACCGTATACCAAGATGGGAAGTGACATTGAAGATAAAATTTGAATTTAACAGGAAAAATATTATCTATTAAAAAAAACAAAAAAAGAAGAATATTATCTGGTATAATTTTATATAATTATATGTAAATGAAGACACGCACAACGTGCCAGGAATTGCATAACATTATTTTTCTTTTCTTCCCCGTTTATCGTTAAAATAATTGTTTTTTTTTTTTCTCATAAGTACATAATACGAATCATTGTTAGATCATGACAATAAATATTTCCACTAATTATAAATTGTTACAGTCGTAGTAAAAACGTGGCTCGTGTATTATCGTTGCTCGTAGAGTTTAGAGTTGCAGCGCAAAATGCAGTGACTCATTGTGGAACTGGTGATTCAAGAAACGATTAAATACGATTTTTAAGGCAATCGAAAAACTCTTCTTGAATTCGAACATTGTTTTTGTTTTGTCTTTTCATTTAGGATTCATTGATAAAAAAAAAGTTACATAGTTAAATTTTAATTTCTAAATAGATAAATTTATATTATTTCTTTTTCACACTTTTTAAATTATTTTTATCTCGAGATCTTTAATTAATAATTAAACAAGCTCTAATTAAATTAGAAAGAAAAAAACTGTTTTAGAGCTTCATAGAGATGATCTATGAATCCTTAATAAAGACAAGTCAATGAAGATAATAGGTTAAAGTCTTTCATTGAACCAAAGCTTAAATTCTATTGAGACTGACCTAATTACCAATTCAATTCCGATGCAATTGATGAGAAGATAATATCAATATCAAAATTTGAACAAAGTTTCAGTGAATTGAATCCATCCAAATTTAAATAATGCAAGTTATGGCTTTTTTTATGGCTCGTTTAAAATTTTTGTCGCTTTTAAATACTTCGATTTTATTATTTTTCCCCGACTTTTAAAAATCTAAAACACATAAAAAAATACTCCTGCCTTAAGGAACAACACTTGAGGAAATCAATAATAATAATTCAATGACCCGCTGAAACGTATGTTTAACCGTGCTAATAAACGTTTCAGATTATCGCCTAAACTCTTGGATAGGGAGTGGAGCCTACTAATCACCGATTCAACTCTAACGGTACCCAGACAATCGTCATAATTTACGATTCTGGCTCATCGTGGAAACTCCTCTTTCCTCTCCCGCTTCCCCTTTCGATCATCATCGCGCAAAGACCTTCTCTAATAACGGAAGACCGTTGTATCACGGCCTCTTGCATCGAATCCATCTCTCGCTTTCCAAGAAATTTTCAATGAACTCGGTCGATTATACTGGCAGCGTCCGCCAAAAAAAACATTTCCGTTTCTATCTCGAAAAATTATGTAACACGTTTAGTTTGCATAACAACCAGCAAGCTTGTTGGCATCTGTCGATGAAATTGCCGATTAAACGGGGTCAATGTGTTCCAATGAGCAACATAACCGCTGGAACGAAAAAAAATATGTATTGTATCCCAATATAAGAGATTAAACTAAACCAAACAGATTTTTGATCAGATTGAGAAATTAGATTTTAACCGAGAGGAAATTATTATTCTGTAATTGTTAAATTAGATGTAGAAACTTGAAAAGAGATTTAAAAAAAGTGTACATATTCTGAATCATCTTCACACGACAAAGGTTCAGGACAAAGACAATAAGAAGACTTTAGTAAGAGGATTAGAAGATTGAACAACAAACAATCCTCTAAAGCGTAAAACCAATGGAAACTTGTCGATTATGAAATCTTTAACAGAATTTGCGAGTTTTCTAATAATACTGCGCGATCGATTGATCAAAACAGAAGAACTGTTGGATAATTTATTAAAGAAATTAAGAATCGTCGAAAGAAATTCAAAATGGCATGAAATTTGAAATAGAAGCAGTTTGAGAATTTTCGATCAAGCCTTCGTCATGAACTTTATTTCAATGGAGTTCAAAAATAACCTATCGTTTAAATTTAATAACGATTTAGACAATATCAAGGATTTCTATTACGTAAAATACACAGTTTACTCGAAGTTTCTAATTTTGGAAATGGTTTAGTAATTCAAGTGCTGTAACATCTACTATATAACTTATAAAATGTCAAAGATAAATATTAGTAATTTTGAATTTCTTGTTGATCCAAAATATTATAATATAATTCATCATTCATATTAATTCATATTAATTAAAACTTAAATCATATAAAAGAAACAAAAAATAAAATTTTATCCATGAAACGCATAACTTACCATTAAATATCAATCTCATAACTATCTTCCATTATTCCAATTAATGTAAACCGCGAATCTATCTTGATCCATCAATCATAGCCAAGATCAGAGCTCGAAAATTCTATACCGAAACGGCGTTCCCATTAAGCGATATTCTTACCGAGCTAGTCACGATGTCGCCAATACAACGATCGTGGAATAAAGACAGCCAACAAAAAGTGACAAATAGCTTGAATGCAGAACGAGAGAATGAATAAGTGTGATGTTCCTCCTCCTCATATCTCTCTAGCCAAGCAATCCCACTCGTCAGAACTTCCTAGCCATCCAAGTAAACAAACTCGTTCGAGGAATTGCGCGCGCCAGAACTATCGAAGAAGCCAGAAAGGAAGAAACTGTTTGGGTGTCGTTTTTTCGTGTCTATGTTTCGATTCGCAAGATGATACGTATCGGTACGAAAATAGAGACATTAACTTGGATCACGCGTTCGCGAACGTTACACAATCTGAATTCAGGAACTGGTCATCTAAAGAATTAGTTGTTCTTATAGTGAAGAGAAGAGGAAGAAAAAAAAGAGATGAACGTGGCATCGGTGACAACCACTGGTCTCGGTTGTCCTTGCACTTCCTAACAATCGTGCGTCGATCAAGCGGTCGGTTACTAAGTGTATTTCGCTGTCACTGCATTGTTTCGATCGAATTCTCCTGACTACTATACGTACATAATATATCCGCGTCTTTCAGTCCCATTCGCCGCCCATCCTTCCTCCTCTTTTCGTGCTCTATCGCCGTGACGCACACGAAACCACGGCTCTACATCTTCGCACTTCGATCCTGACCGCGTTACAAGGCCGCTCTCTATCTTCTTCTAATCACTTTCACGAACTCTCGCGCCTCTATACGCGCTCGTGGCTGCTCGGTCGGTAAAATTGATCCCCTACGTCACAGCGCGCACCACCGCTTTGGCACCGACCGATTACGTGTATAGTATTCTCCGAAAAAGCGATGTTTCCGTGTATACATGCTCATAGACGCATACCTGCATTGAGAGACATGTATACGTGCATACATACACACATACAAAGGAGACGCGCGTCGAACTACCTCTGTGACAACGACCTTGATCTCGAATTCAGGCTTTCTTGTTTTTTCTTTCTCTCATCTCCATTTTCTCTCGTTTTCCCGCTCCTTTGAGAGTAATAGGAAACAAGTGGACAGTGCAGATTCGAATAATTTTCTTTCGATATAATAATAAAGTAATTAAACGGAAAACCTACACACATACATATACACAGCGAGACGACACCACTCACGCACACGCATTCGTACTTCTGGCAGAGTGAATCGTCCCTTCTCCCACGAACAAATATCCCTCTTTTCGTCCCGTTTCGTTACACACTCGATGTTCCTTCATTTCTTTCTATCTCTCTCTCACTCTCTATCCCTCTCACTCTATTTCTTGCTTCGTTACCATTTCCCCTTCGTTGCACTCACTCACGGTATACACACCGTAAACTTAGAGATCAAGCGAAAAGGAACGAATAAACGAACAAACAGACAAGCCGTGTAAAGAGAAGTCTAGCGGCGTCCGAGCAATGTTTTATCTTCGACTATAACAAATGACGATTGTTGTCGCGTATATCGGGTTGCGCGAGATGCCATGGGGTATCGTTGACCCCTCAACGACATCGGACAGATACAGTTGTAATACGCGTAAAGAGAAACAAGTTTGTGTTGTATAGAGAAAGAAAGAAGAAGGAAGAAGAAGTGTAGTATGAAGAGAAAAGGATCCACTCGCCTGAACAGTGTTGCGTTTGAGGAGCCGTGGTAGCAACTGCCCGCAGTAATAGTCGTCAGCTGATTTCGACTGGCTGGCTGGCTGGCTGG